ATTTTTAAAATTCAGTTTTTCAGCTATACTAAATTCTGGTAATTAGTGTTTTCAAACTTGTATTGGGAAAACCAAGACATTTGGATGATTTTCAGTCATTAAATGTGAGTTTTAATGACTGAAGTGAGTTTTGCTTTTTGTTTTGTTAAAATACCATTGAAAAAGAAAATAACATTTATGGGTATAAGTCCATTTCATATGGTCATCATTAGTAATCCTTCATTTTTTCTTTATTGATTTTAGAGAGAGAGGAAGGAGAGGGGGAGAGAGAGATAGAAACATCGATGAGAGAGAACATTGATCAGCCACCTCCTGCATGCCCCCCACTGGGGATTTGGTCCATAACCTGGGCATGTCCCCTGACCAGAATTCAAACCGGCAACCTCTTAGTGCATGGTCAACACTCAGCTACTGAGTCCCACTGGCTGGGGTGAAATTGGTTTCTTATGTTGAAATTTTCATGCCTGTTTTTTGTATTAAAGGGTTTGATATAGATTTACCAAGTTCTTAAGGTTTTATTTTTCCCTTACCATCCTCACAGATGAGCATGGCAAGGATCAAGGTATAAATATTCGCCAGAAGGTAAAAGAATTGGTCGAGTTTGCCCAGGATGACGACAGGCTTCGTGAAGAGCGAAAGAAAGCAAAGAAGAACAAAGACAAATATGTTGGGGTTTCCTCAGACAGTGTTGGAGGATTCAGATACAGTGAGTATCAAAAACAGATTGGCACCTAACCATCAGTTTATTTCTTGGGTGTATTTTAAGACCCACTGAAATACAAAAGACCAAAGTGCTATTTTATTTTCAAGAATACATAGAGTACTAAAATATATGCAATAGTAATTTTGGCTTCTATTACATGTATATTAGTAATCCTTTTCTTTAGTTTTTACTTTAGTGGGTTAAGAATATGATTTTAACCATTAATTATTAATTAAATGATTGCAAACTTTGACTTGATATGATGTACAGAGAATAAAACATATATACCCTTCCCTCCTGGGGTTGCCATTCTTTTGTTTGTTTGTTTGTTTTTTGTTTGTTTGTTTTTTATCCTCACCCGAGGACATTTTTCCATTTTTTGCTCAGATAGAGTGGGAGGGAGAGAGAGGAAGAGAGAGAGAGAGAAAGAGAAACATCGACGTGAAAGGTACACATCGAGTGGCTGCCACCCACACGACCCAACTAGGGCCAGGGACAAACTGCAACTGAGGTGTACGCGCCCTTAGCGGAAACTGAACCCGGGTCTATCTGGACCGTAGACCGACGCTCCAACTGCTCAGCCAAACCGGCCAGGGCAGGGTTGCCATTCTTAAAAAAAAAAAAAAAAAATAGATTTCTGTAACTCACCATTTAGAGCATAAAGATATGAAGTTTGGTCAAGAGATTGATCTTAATTAGAAACCAATTTAGCTGTTTAAGGCCAAAAATAGTCACTAAGCTTCCCAAAGTTCAGCCTCAGTCTTTTCCCTTCATTAAGCGGTGCATTAGTTTGACATAGAAAAAAGGTGACTGACAACACCATCGGTTTTTCATCTAGGCCTATCGCTTTATTGTTCCTAACACATTTCATAGCAGCTAGAACATTCATCTCACGTTTTTAATTAATTAATTAATTTTTTATCCTTGCCCGAGAATGTTTATTGACTTTAGAGAGGGAGGATGGAGAGAGCGAGAAATGTCGATGTGAGATAGAAACATCAATCTGTTGCCTCCTGTACATGCCTCAACCAGAGTTCAAACTGAAACATAGGTATGTGCCCTGACTGGGAATCGAACCCGAAACCTTTTGGTGTACAGGATGACGCTCCAACCAACTTAACCACCTGGCCAAGGCTCCCATGTTTATTTTTAATGCAAATATATAGTTTACATAAAATAGATCACTCGGTGCTTGAAACAGTTACAGAAAATAGCTCTCTTTCATAGCACATCTCTTTGGACTCATGTCTTCTGGAGCTCTGACCTTCCCCTTGTCATTTTGTGTATACACAGCAGGCCAGTGCTATGTATAAGTAGCAGCTGCATCTTGGGGCTCTCCGACTCCCCCAACCAATAATGAGTTTGTTTATATTTGTATTATGCTGAGAACTCATAATTCATCATTGGAACTATGTTTTCACTTTGCTTCTCTGCTTTCGTGCCCACAAAGAAAAAATATTGCACTTAATTAGCTGTTACAGGATGTTTCTACAGCAGAAAAATTTCGTTCTTTTATGTCTCAGCATCACATAAAAGTGAATTCTTGAATTGGGCAAAAATAATCATCTTAAATCAATAATATAAATATATTTTGGAGTTTTTATTTGTTTAGGGGGATAAGAAGTTTTTGGATAATTTGCCCAAATAGTTGTTCTTTAACTTTTTCAAAGTAGCTTTAGCAATTTAATGTGTTTTTTGAGTAAATACTATTTGCAACTCCTTTCCTCATTCTACTTACTTATAATCCTCTTTACCAGCACAATATATAATGACAGAAATTTAGCAAATTGAATAAGTTTTCAGAATCAGTCATAGTGAACTCAATATAGTATCTGCAGTAGAGATACAGTTGAACAGGATGTCCTGTGTATTTTCATGGCATTCTCTTTCTTTTTGCATTTATCTTCAGACAGAGTGGGAGGGAGAGAGGGGAGGAAGAGAGAGAGAGAGAGACATCGATGTGAGAGAGACACATCGAGTGGCTGCCACCCACACAATCCCAACCGGGGCCGGGGACAAACTGCAACCAAGGTATGTTAGTGGGAACCAAATCCAGGACTCTCTGATCCGTGGGCCAACGCTCTTAACTGCTAAGCCAAACTGGCCAGGGCTGCATGACATTCTTTCATGAATTATTTTTAGTGTTACATACATGATTCAGAAACTTAACTAGTTATCAACTTTAACTATTTATATGTTTTTTCATTTTGACATTAGATAATGTCCTGCCATGGTCCGGTATCTTTGACCCACTTTTAGTATGATATCTACCACACTAATCAGTTTAGTTTTCATCTACTTTCATTTTTCTGGTAAAGTTTTTATTCAAAGTCTAGTTTATCACATTGTCATTGAAATGTACATTGTTAGAAAACCACCATCTTAATAAAACCATTCTGGTTTAAATTTTATCTAATAAACTTAATTTTTTCACATTCTGTTCAAGTTGTTGGTCACTTTCAGATTTAGTAGACATATTTTTTAATTTTCAAGCTCTTCCCTGGCTCGTGTAGCTCAGTTGGTTTATTGTCTTTCCATGCACCAAGAGGTCACCAGTTCAATTCCCAGTCAGGGCACATGCCTGGGTTTCGGGCTCGATCCCCAGTAGGGGGCATGCAGGAGGCAGCCAATCGGTATTTCTCTCTCCCTCTTCCTTCCTCTCTTTAAAATCAATAAAAACTTTTTTAAATCCTCAAGCTCTTACAGAAAATTTTGACTGCAGTTTTAGCAGGCAATTCAGTAAAATGGTTTTATTCAATCTCCAAAGGAATTGTATGCCATCAGAATTTGTTAACCAAAGTTCAAAGTAAAAGCTCTCTTAGCCACCTTTGGATTATTTTGTTACTTCTCATTGCCTTTTCCTTTTCTCTCCAATCTGCCTTAGTTTTCCATGTTTTCTTCTCTTTGACCTCATGTGATTTCTACTCTTGTCTCTTAAGTTGAGTTTGGGCATGGATATGGAAATGGAAACATTTCCTTTAATGCCTGTAATTCTTTCCTTTCCTTTGGACCCCCAAGGTCAAGAACTAGAACAAATCTTGACATTTTGGTTTTTTTGTTCATTGCCATGATCTATTCCCTTCACTCTCTAATTCACACTGAAGTTCCTAGGTTTTGTCAGTTCCAGCATATGGTTATTCTGAACTGCTTGAGCATACTTCATGATTCTACTGTATAGCTTTTGGTAATTAGAATATTCTTTTCTTTTTACTGTAATTAAAACATGTTTTCTCATGTTGTGAAATTTGATGATAAGGAATGGTCTTCAGAGCACATTGGGACATGTAGCATTCAGAATGCTGTTTCCCATAGTTTGTGTTCTAAGAGACTTTGCTGTCCAATACTTTACTAATAATTGAAAAATCATTAGGAGACAGGAATGAACTATAATAAAGTGACTTTTGTAAAATTTCCATTTCTCCTTTGCTTATATAGTCTGTGGTAGTTCTTGTGTTTTCCTCTGCTCCTTTCAACAGCCTTTAAGAACTTCCTGATAATGCTTTGCTATGCATCAAGGTTGTATAAGTTTTTATAAATAAAAGCTTTTGAATCTGCATTCTTGCCACTTAATGACTGGCACTACATGCTCTGCCTTGCTGTAATTGTGTTGAGTCAGCATTGTGGGAGCTTTCTGTTTTCTTTTGAAAACTATTTTATTATGAGGAAAGGCTTCAGAAATAAGAACTGTGGACACCTTTTGAATTTAATGTCCTTAGAGTTGCTTCTCTTTTTAATGCTCTATATAGGTGAAAGATATGATCCTGAGCCCAAATCAAAATGGGATGAGGAGTGGGATAAAAACAAAAGTGCTTTTCCATTCAGTGATAAATTAGGTGAACTTAGTGATAAAATTGGAAGCACAATTGATGACACCATCAGCAAGTTCCGGAGGAAAGACAGAGAGGACTCTCCGGAAAGATGCAGGTATTTAACACTCTGTATTCTGGGTCTCTTGAAGAGGGTACTAAAGGTATGCAGCTGGTTTTGGTTTTATTTTGTTTTGGGTGTTATCATTATTTGATTTTTTTCCCTAGTAGATTTTATTTTTTAGGTTTCCGGAAAAATTGTGCATAAAGTACAGAGTTGCCATGTTAACACACAATATTTCTCCTGTTATTAACATCTTGCATTAATATGGTTCAGTTATTAACAGTTGATAACCAATATTGATATATTGTTACTAAGTAAGTCTGTTGTTTGCATTAGGGTTCACTGTGTTGTATAGTTGATAAATGCATAACATCCACCATTATAGAACCATATAGAATAGTTACACTGCCCTAAAAATGCCCTGTGCAAAAATGTAGAATGATTTATGTAGTTACATTCATCTTTGCCCATGGGTCATGCTAATCTTCTCTGTATTGTTCCAGTATTAGTAGGTTTGTTGCTGATGATTGTGCATCTGTTTTAAGATGCTAGGTTAAACATTATTTGAAATTAGTACTGACACACTTTCCATGTTGTCTATGTCCATTTATTTCTAAAGTTATCACATTTCCTATATGTTTTTATTCAGGCTATTTATTGGAAGTATTTTTGCCCAATAAGAACTCCCAAAGCTTATTTTTCATTTAGGCATCAAATTATCCAGAGAACTAAGTTATTGCTGATGGATAACAAAGTTTATTATATTAAATTTAAACAAAAGTTAAAGGGTTTGAGATTTAACCCCGCCTGTGACATTTCACTATGATTCTGTACCATTGTGCACCAGGGGAAAAAAATCCAAATGCATTTTTGGACTAAATGTTTTTTAGTATAAACCTGAATTTCATAAACTACATTTTCTAATAGTAGGGCATTTTTATTGAGCTTTATATAGAACGATACTTGAAATGGCATTCATTTTTGTTCTACCTACCAATATAGCTATAACCTAGTTTTTCTGCCAGTTAAAAGGGCAGTGTATGTAGCACTTCATTTGCAGAGCAAGTTTTACAAGATTTTTGTCATCTGTGCCTCACAGTATCTCATTAGATCGGACAGAGAAAGGATTTTACCCTTACTGTTTAGAAGTAAAACCCGAGGCCCTTTTAGGCTGTGGGTTGTTGTAACTGAGTACTACCTCTCTTTTTTTCCTTTAAAAAATATTACTAGTTCAGAGTTAGGGGTCCTCGAAAAAAATAAAGTAAAAATAAAATGTTGAGACTATTCAGATTTTAAAATATTGGTTATTGATTTAGTGTCTTTTCAGTGTGTTTCCATATATATTAAATCCCTAGAATTCCTGTCTCTTTCAAGACTATTTCTACAGTACGATCTTTGAAGAGCTAGAATTTATTTTCAGTACTTTGAATACATATATCTACTTTATAACTACATTTCTAGCTCTTTTGTACTGAAATAGTATGCATAATAGTATACTAAACTTTGGGAAATGGTGCCTACCTCAAATATTCTTTGCAGTTTTTCCCTCATTAATGTTCTTGTGGCCTGTGTTACATTTTTGTTTTTGGTTTATAAAACATAGTGGCCATATGTTCTGTAGCTATTTCCTGAAGAACTGTGGGAATCCGGTAGATAGGCTGCTTAGACATCTAACTGTGTACATTCTTGTTGTTACTTTCCTTTGCCCTCCACCCTCAGCTTTTCTTTCTGTGCTTTTGGCTTCCTATTCTTTTTTTTTCTTTTTCTACCTTGATTTTTTTTTTTTTTTCTTTCCTGTGTTGGCTCTAAGACAGTATTTCCTAGAGTTCCTAAATCTTTTATATAGAATATTCATTTTTAAGAGTGAAAATATAGTGTGTGTTATTTATTGTAGTAAGTAAAGGGTGCCCTGGGGACTTGACATCTTGCAGTATTTGTGAAAGGAGGAGTAGATTTTTAGACAAAGTTTCATGTGACCCTTTCTGGCATATTAACAGAATTTCAGACTTCTTAGTTCATTATTAGATTTAGGAATTACTGAACATAGATCATATATGAGGCTTTCATTTCATTGTGTGCTAGTCAGGTTTATATTATCAACTTGTAAAGAAATTACCTTGTATTGAAATAAAATTGGACACCAGAAAGGTAAGAAATTTCTGCTTTATTTATAGGACTGGGAATCTTTAGGTCATTTGTGCTGAGAAATTACATAGTAAGTGACAAGGATTTTTAAACATTTAATCAGAATTTGTAGATTCCCTAAAATACAGATAAAAAATACATTTAATCCCCTGCTGTGTGTGGGAAGCCATTCTTCCTGATCTTTGATTTATACCGATTTGGAATGAAACAATTCCAATTGTATTTATATATTTAAGTAGAAACTGCTATAGATTAGTCTGAGTTAAATTGTATCAGTAATAATAGTCAGTTTTAAAGAGAATTTTATTTCAGAATATTTATAAGTTAATATTTATAAACCACCTACTCTAACACTTAATAATGTAGGTAATGGAACATATTTCAAGTAATTTCTCTCTGTGTCCTACGTGCACCAAAAAAACAAACAAAAAAACCAATGCCTTATTACTAGAGAACAGACTAATGCTGGCATTTTTAAATTCATGGTATATGAAAACCCAGTTTTTTACTTGTGATGTATTTTTTCTTTTGCACTGTTAAAAAAAAGTTTTAATATGCCTGAAAAATTATTTCAAAACATTTTAAATATTTTAAAGTTTTCTATAATGTTAAAGTTTGATTTGCTGAGACCACAGAAAAAAGAACACAGTTGTTGTAAACTGTATTACCTTTTAATTTTCTGCATTTACAGATTAGTGTTTAATCATTTAAATTCAAATAAGTTAATATTTTAAAGGTATCCATTGGAATTGAAATATTTTATTATGTATTGCATTAGTATGAGTCAATGACAGAATTATGTTATTTGAATGAACTATAATCTCACACAATCCATTTCAAGAGAACGGTCATCAACTGCAGATGCTGGAGTTCCTGGGGTTTCCTCCTTTGATTCTGATATGATAATAAGTCTGTTATTTTATTTTTTAATTAAGCTTTAAATCTATAATAAATAAGGACTTGAATTATTTCAGACATATTTTGTACACATTTATGTAAATACTTTTCTGTAGCAGTGTTTTAGGACTTAACTAGGGAATTTTTCAGGTTCCTACTTTACCACCTCACACATGTCATTATTCAGATAGCTTAGATAACATTGTGTTGATCCCTGTCAAATAGTCTAAGTGTGGAATTTTAGAGTTACTGTATTTGAAATTCTCTAGCTCAAATCACTGAGGACTCCATCTTAAAATAATCCCTCGTCTTACTATTTTCCTTTATTTTTAATATCTTTTAGCGACAGTGACGAGGAAAAGAAAGCGAGAAGAGGTAGATCTCCCAAAGGTGAATTCAAAGACGAAGAGGAGACTGTGACGACAAAGCATATCCATATCACACAAGCCACAGAGACCACTACAACCAGGCACAAGCGCACAGCAAACCCTTCCAAAACCATTGATCTTGGAGCAGCAGCACATTACACAGGGGACAAAGCAAGTCCAGATCAGAATGCTTCAACTCATATGCCTCAGTCTTCAGTTAAGGTGGGAATGGCACAAATTTACACATTATACACAGTTTTATTCTTATACATTACTTTTAGAATTATTGCATTAGTAGGCTTGGGTATTTCCAGGTAATCATATTAATTATAGATCATTTGGCATATATTACTCAGAGTCATTGATAATAAGACATCTCGGTGGGGGTAGGTGGGGAGGGAATCTATCCAATTTCTGAATGATTGTCTTTACTTTCTATGAAAGTAGAAATGGCACTCTTAGTTCGTTTGGGAAAGGTTGTGAGTCAGAATATAGTACATCTGTTTCCTTCTAGACACACTTCTGGTTACCAAGTACAAGCAGGGTTGCCTAAGGAAAACATGAGAGTATTTGGAAGTTGTAAGAAATGACAAAAGAGGATCAAGTAGATACATAGAGGAAATGGTCACATTTAATACAGAGATGGGCCCTGGCCAGTTTGGCTCAGCAGTTAGAGCATCGGCCTGCGGAACAGAGAGACCCGGGTTCCATTTCTGCTAAGTGCAGGTACCTCGGTGGCGGTTTGTCCCCAGCCTCGGTTGGGTTCATGTGATTGGCAACCAGTCAATGTGTCTCTCTCACATCGATGTTTCTCTCTCTCTCTTCCTCCCGCTCTATCTGAAGATAAAATGCAAAAATATCTTTGGGTGAGGATTTAAAAAAAAAAAAAAAAAAATACAGCCCTGGCCGGTTTGGCTCAGCGGTTAGAGCGTTGGCCTGCGGTCCCGAGAGACCTGGATTCGGTTCCCGCTAAGGGCACGTACCTCGGTTGCAGTTTGTCCCCGGCCCTGGTTGGTCGTGCGGGTGGCAGCCACTCGATGTGTCCCTTTCACATCGATGTTTCTCTCTCTCTCTCTCTCTCTCTCTCTCCCTCCCTCCCTCCCTCCCTCCCGCTCTACCTGAACAAAAAATGTCCTCAGGTGAGGATAAAAAAAAAAAAAAAAAAAAAATACAGAGATGGTGCCATTAAAGGGAGGCTTATTTGCTTGGTGGTCACTACTGATCTGTAGTAGCACTGACTATTGTACCTTCCTCATTTGTTTTTCATTTACCACAGAAATGGAAGCCTATCTACTAGATACCTGGCCACAAGTTAGACTTGTGGACAGAAATCTGCCAAAGAGGAAGATTTATCCAAAAAGCTAAATTGTTGTTTTGTCATTTCCCCCCCACTAGTGTTTACTCCTATTATATCTTTGCATCAAAAGTAGCTAAAAGCTAGGGAAAATATGTTTCTAATGTATCCTGCAAATAGGTGACTCAAAAAATAAAGCTAGTCTTATGTATTGTCAAGAACAAGTACTATGTCACTTTTGCCAAATATCATCTGGTGTATAATTTCACCCATATTTGCCCTTTCTAAGTTTTGATAAAAACCTCAAAATTATAATTCAACTTTAGTTGTAGTTAAAGAGGGGGAATAGCTGTTCTCTTTCTAGTCTCAGATTCCCCGTTATGGAAATAGTTACCTTGCTGGTGATGGCTGTACAGGATCTGGTGAATAATCATAATTAATACCCAAATACATGGTGGCTGTTACGTGGAGAATTCATTTAAGGTTGCATGAAGAGAATTTTCCCAACTGTATACGTTTTTAACAGTAAATTGAGACATATTTTATAGAATTTTAGATTACAATTTGTAGTACAGCCTGAATATGTCACTCTGCCATAAATATTTTACATTTTTAGTGTAAGCTTTTTATTTGTTTTTACTGCAAAAAAAAAAAAAAAAAAAAAATGTTTTGAAGGTCAGAGTTCTTGAAAAGTTTCTCAGCTACTGCAGATCTCTTTTAATCTCAAGGTCTTTTTAAACCACAGTGTTTTCCCTGTTGCCTAGCAGTTCTGTTCTCTTTAGTGAGTATGTATTGACCATACAGCATATGCTTCATAGTGCCTGGCACTAT